AGAAATGAATAGTTCTAGACAATAGAAATGACTACTTTTTGCACTGACCCTACACTGCTTTATCTATTCGTTTTTCAGGTAGCTCGAGATTTCGACTGTCGTCATGGTCTCTCCACCGTTTTGGGACGTGCAATGGGTATCAAAAGACCAAATTTGTACAAACAATTGGTTTCATCTGCTTTGATAAAGATGCATTCATTTTATATGAACGGAATGACACAGAAGTAAGCATTACGCGAAATTTTTGAACTCTAGCCAAAATATTCTGGTCTTTTCAAAGCTAGCATGGAGACTGAACAACCTAATAATGGAAAAATGTAATTTAACTAAGTGTGGACTGCTAAACTTTTTACAGCCTTATTCTAGCCATCTAATTCATAACAAAAACTCCCTTGTTTACAAAAAACTCCTTAACCAACCTTACAACGAACCAAATTTTGAGCTTTCGTAGTACACTATTCTATATTGACAGCTATAAAGCTTCTCACCTTAAAGAATATAAATAAAGCAAAAAGCTTGTAATCTAACAGATTCCCACTATTTTTAGTCCCCCAAACCTTTCCCGTCTAGTCGACTGTCATTGCCGGATGGTTGCTCTTCTTCGACAAGCTGAAATCCGAATAGCTGAAAAAAGGATTGCCGCTGCCGCTAGGGAATATAAAGAGGAGGTTTGAAAAATCCAAGCTTTCGTGTGAGTTCCGGGAATTTTATGTGTATTTTCCAGAAGTTCGAGTTTATGTTAGTGGAATGTGATGGAGAAAAATTGTACAAGTTGGTATCGGAGAGTGAGATTGACAATACCATTTCAGGTATAGCAAAGTCTTTATAATTGATAATTACTCCATGAATATTGGTATAATAAGAGTTTTCAAAACGTTGCGTAAATATTGTGCATGTTTTTTATAAAACATAATTTTTACCTTATTCTTCATAACTCAGTTCTTGAAAAAAGTGAAAATTCGGGAGCAGGTGTATATTTAATGAATAAGAGTGGCTCTAGTTCCTTATCACTGAGATTCTAAATTTTTAGAATACCACAAACAACGCGCTACAGTGCTGCCAAGTCGATCCGTAAATGAAAGACCAAATCCATTCAGCGCTGGTGTAATGGAGGAAAAGGAAGATGATGAGGTATCGATTTTCAAGAGAATGCCAGTAATCAAAATGCCTACAATTCCCAATACTACAAATAACTGTTGCCAGGAATTTATCCTTAATACCAAAAAAACAAGAGTAAATCTAGAGTCCTAGTTCAATTTTTCAGCCAAACCACGACACGCTTTGTCTGCTCGCTTATCGTCAGATCTGCCTAATTCCTATCCGCTCTATACTAGATCTCGACAACAGTGTTCAACTACTACCTCAAATCATCAGATCTGTCAAGGACTTAATTCTCGCCACTCCGGATATAACTATACGCCAATTAGCTGTACATATCATTGATATGATCATGACTTGACCTCGCCAGGATTCTATATGAT